CGGATCATGGGTTGACTCATTTAGACCCCAAGCAGAACTAAAAATGCTTGACTTGAGAGGTTGCTGGCTCTAAGTGAAGGTGCTATATCATCTTTGTGCAAGAGATTTCCCCAAATGGAAGTTAGGCATGAACTCGTTCGAGTTTCTCCATCCGATCAAAGTAGTCCATGTGGACCATCGCGATCACGAACATACTTGAAGACTAAGCAAGCCAAGAAAAAGCAAGAAGAATTTCCCTTCCTTATAGGTAGGAATACTTGTGATCTAATTTTTTAGTAACTGGGAAACTAACCTTTTCTCACTCAAGTGTATTATTTTTTGGTTCCATTCTTGAAACAGATCAAAGAATGAAGTATAGCAGAGAGGAGCTGCTGGCATTACAGTACTCAACTTTATCTCTTGCATTGGCTCATGAGTGGCAAACAAGATTTCAGTCAAGAAGTGATAGCCTGCCAAGTGATGTTTCAAGATTTCCAGAGACAGGCTAGAGTGGTAATAGATTGAAAGCATCCATGCTTTATGGTTCCGTGTTGTGTATTCTATCAATGTAATCAATCATAGTGGATATGGTTTTTTTTTTTTTCCATTTTAGTACTTGATCATGATAGAATAATTAACCTTCAATCATTTCATCATTAACTTCAAAGTAATTAATTAATCCAGCTTCAAATACCTTTGAATAAATTTTTTAAAATTAAATTTAGCTCATTTAATTAAACTTTAAAATTACAGATACAAATTTCTTTCAGCCACTCAAAGTCTAGGAAAAAGTTTATTAACTTTGCATGTGTAGCACATTAGATTCAATTATCAAGCCGTCAGTGAATTTGAAGAATTTTTTCTGTAGAATTTTTGTAGATTCATCAGTAAGTGCTATATAGATATTAATCATTAGATAGCAAAAAATAATTCGACTAGAATGTATGGCCTTTTATAAAAATATAGACCTATCAATCATTTAATTAAGTAGTAATTAGTAAATTAAAAAATTAATCTCATTAATTAACAATATAACAAAAAAAAAATATTAATTAATTACATTGAACCTAATAATAACTACTAACACTTAATGTCATGGCCTCTAAAAGGTATAAGAATAATTTTTCTAGAGAAAATAGCATTATCATCAATAAATTTCATTAAGTTTCATCTACTGTAACCTTGGTAGATGTATGAATAATATCATACTTAATAGTAATGACTATAATTGAATGTCATATAGATCAATTTTTTTAAAGATAAACTTTTTTCTCTAACATTGTCATGATTCTATACTTCAAGAATCATCCATAATGCGTAATCATCTCATATTATCGTTCTTATATTGAGAATAATGGGTTTTTAATTACTAACTTATATGACTTTAAAGAGTAAAAGCTAGATTGGTTCCATACACGTAAACCATTGTATAACTGAGTGAAAGAATAATTTTTACACTATTATTACGCGTATGCTTTTGCTTCACTTAGGGCAACTTTATGTAATTGTTTATTTATCTGAATAAATCTAGTGAACTTATTCACGTAATAAGTATCTGCACAAATATCATTTTATCAATTATATCAATATGCAACTAGATTAAACATTTTTTGTAAATAATATATTTTGTGTATCAGTCTTCTCATGTGAAAAATGTTGAAATCAAATTTATCTTTTGGCTTATAGAACTTTGTAAATTTTATTTCAATCACCTTATTATAATTTTGGTATAATCTCTTTCTTTTGAGTTTAATAGACGTTATTTGTTGTGTTTGTGACAATTGGGCAAAAGTTGATAACTTATCCTCTATTGACATAAGAAATTATTACAGTATCTTAACAAAATTATTACAATTATGTCATGGATGCATCTCATGGAATACGTTTGATGTTGTACACAAATATTAACAATATAGGTGAATGTTGTGCTCTTTCTAATACAATTGTAATTACTATATTTATCTTTCTTAGCAAAAGTACATCTTTCTTTTGGTTAAATGATGTAATATGTAGCATCAAAGAAGGAAATAAAATGCAAGCTGTTATGTCTAACAACTAAGATCCATATATTTTCATCTTTTTTCCTAGTGTTAATATTTAATGTAAGCTAATTGCCTAACATGTTCAATGGAAAATGTGGTATATTGGTTCTTATTTAGAAAGAAGAGATTCATTCATATTCTTTGCTCATTATATTTAATACTATAAAACAAAATGACCTCAATTGACAACAACTGACCTATTATTTAAAACAACTCATTGCATTTGGGCCGTAAGTCTAATATTAATTCTAAGTTACATCACATTTCAAAAGAAGTGTTCTTCCATATAAAAATTTAAGTGACTCCTACAAATCCTTTGTTCTTGCCATAACCCAAGATAAGAAACTTAAATCTTATCATAAAGCCATTCAACATCCATGTTGGAAAGCAGTTATGTCTGCTGAAATAAAAGATCTAGAAAAAAATAAAACATGAGAGTTGACTGATTTACCTTCTAATAAAAAAACAATTGCTCACAAATGGGTTTACAAAAATAAAAAGAAAAGCGGCTAGATTAGTAACTAAAGGCTATACCTAGAAATTAGAAGTTGACAATTTGAGCACATTTTCTATAGTAGCCAAATTGACTACAATTTAGACTCTTCTTGTTATTACTGCTGCTAGAGGCCGGTTGCTCCACCAGTTAGACATCAATAATGTCTTCCTACATGGTGATCTATATGATGAAGTTTATATGAGCCTCCCACTAAGTTTTGAAGCTAATAACAACAACAAGATATGTCGTTTAAAAAAGAGTTTGTATAGATTAAAACAAGTTAGTAGAAAATGGTATTTCCAACTTACAGATGCCTTAAAAAAGCAAAATTGTAAGCAAGCTCATTTTGATTCCTCTTTATTTTTTAAGTATACTGATCATATTTCATAACTCTTAGCATATATACAGATGATGTTATACTTGCTAGTAATAGCTTGAAATAGATTAAAATTGTCAAGTACTAATTGCATAGCTTGTTCAAAATTAAGGACCTCGATGAGTTAAAAAAAAATTTAGGTTTGGAAGTAGCAAAATCTCACACTGGTATTGATCTTCGCTAAAGAAAGTAGACATTGGACTTACTATGTGAGACATGTTTTTTATGGTGTAAACCCACCCCTACTTTTATAGTTTCTTCAATCAAGGTATCATGTATAGATAGATCAGATTATGTTGATATTATATCATATAGACCGTTTTTTTACTTGATTAACATTAGACCTGGCATTTTTTTTTTGTAGTACAGCAACTATTGCAATTTTTGAATTCATCAACAAAGAAACCAAATTGTCCATAAAGTTCTATGATATTTGAAAGGAACATTATGAGAGGGGTTATTCTATCTTGTTCAAAATATCTGGATTTATTGTGTTGATACCTATAAATCTGCATTAATTTTTGTATTTTTCTTGGTGAAATACTCATTTTGTGGAAAGTGAAGAAACAACAGACAATTTCACAGTCATTCTCTGAAGCAGATATCGCGCCATTGCTACTGTCATATGCGAGTTGCAATGGTCCCAATATCTCGATGTGCTCATTCATGAAATACCAGATTTTCGGCTATTTTAATTGTGAATTGATTGTCACAGTACAAGGTTGTAGTTACAACTTGCATATTCATCTTCTATTTGTATCTTCAGCTCATCATTTAGTCGATTGCTTCATGAAACTGCTTTTTACTTTAGCATTTCAACAAACTATAATCAAGCTGGGTATATAAACTTTGTATACTCCATCTTGAGGAAGACTAATAAATAATAGATATTATATAGATTTTGTAATAATCACTGTTAACAAGAGTAGTTAGATTTTAACTATAGTTGTTAAACTGTAACCATATGTGGTTAAGATTTGTTTAATTGATTACAAATTAATTAACTATTCATTAATAGTTAGTTTCCTTAATTACTTTGTAAAAAGCCGCAATCGTCATTAATGAAAGTTATAAAGTTCATTTTTCTTCATTCATGAAAGCTCTCTTTCTCTCTCGAATGTTCCCTTCTCACTCAATCACACCTCGAATCACAGTGCATTCTTGATCTTGTGATTTCATCAGCGAAATGTTTTGATATTTGACAAAGTTAGAGATATGAAACGACGTCATTTAAAAATGAGGCTCTGAAACGAGGCCGTTTCAAATGTTGGTCTAGCTTCTTCAACGAGCTTTAAAACAAAGAAGCGAGAAAATGGGGAATGAATTGGGAGACCTAGCCCAAAACGGGCTAATTAATGATAACACAAACGACTCTAATTAATTATAAAGTTAAGAATTGCTATGTTAATAAATTAAAGCCACAACAATTTCAAATTTTGTTTTAATATTTCTAACCAGACAAAATTAAGATGCGATAATTATTAAATAGTTTATGCTAAAAAAATTTGACATCTCCTTTACCGATGATTATTTTGTTAGATAAGTATTTTAAGATTTTCATATTATAATATTTATGTATGTTTAGAAATAAAATAAAATCACACATTTAAGCTAAACTACTGAAGACATTTATCATCTTTTACATACCATGAGATACCAATGCCTTAAGAAAATGGAGGTGCACTAGAACAATATAACTTGCCAATTTTTGGTTGGAATTCGTGGAGTTTCCAACTTTTTTCTTTGGTTTTTGAAGAAAGGGCAATTAGCATTTTGTGAAATTTGCATTAAAAGAAAACTTATTAGAGTGACTAAAGGAGGTTTTAAGGGCATGAGATTTACCCTAATGGTGTTAGAACTTATACATTTTATAGTGGAAGAAGAACAAATCATATAGTATTATGGCTTTGAAAAAGATCATGAGAGAAATTCGATTAGGCTTTTCTACTTTTGGCGAATAAAGCAAACAAAAAAGGGAGTGGAGAAGATCATTTTTAATATCATTATCTTTGGTTTTTTTTTTTTTTTTACTTTATTTAACAAACAATAACAAATAATAATTTGGAGTTGGAAATTAAGAGTTGAAATAACCAGATGGTTTATGAATAGCCCGTATGCACAATCACCATCGAGGAAAAAAGAAAAAAAATGTTCAAAGCAGAGTGGGTAAGCACCAGGGAAAATAGGAGAACATCCTCCCGATGCAATAAGAAAAGTTCTATGCCTTGTTAGCGCTCTTGTACATCTTGTCAATAACATCCTGATGAAATTTTTGGACCATAAATCAGTGAATTTAACCAATAAATATATTGAAAATATTATGGTCATTTAGAAAGACTTGAAACCAAGAGAAACAAATACCTGATAGTATTTCTGTAACTGGGGCCTCTTCTTCTTATAGGTCGGAGTGAGGATGTCACGTTCAATGTCAAATGGCACTGGGTCGAGGTGGATGGCTTTTATAAATTCAAATCCCTTCAACTGCATAGAAAAGATTGATTTCCAGGAATGTTTTAAGTCAGACTTCTTTTGTTCAAAGCTTACTTCTTGATCAATGATTTGAAATCAAAATCACAAGCACTAGAAGCAAGGACGAACCTTCTTTTCTTTTGCAATCTTAGTGAGCTCTCCGAGTATGTGTTCCTTTGCCTTGGGGTTTTCACAGAGCGAATCGAAGTCGCCACTTATGCCATTCTCTTCAGCCCAACTTTCAAGCGCTTGCTTATTGGGATTAACAACAGCAACAAGGAAAGATTCAAAGCTGTTGCCATAAACCCATATCTGAAAGAGTTGACATTTAGGATTAGTTACAATGAGAAAAGTTATTGCAATCTAGTATAGAAAACAAAAAATTCGTGAGAAAGATCAGATGAGTGCTCTATAATAGGGACAAAAATGTGGTATCTGATAGAACACTAAAATCTATAGACAATAGGAAGAAGCATACCGAGTCAATACCAGATGCAAGAGCATAAATGTTCTCCAAGTTTTCAACTGCAACATACTCTCCTTGGGAAAGCTTGAAAATGTTCTTCTTGCGGTCAATTATTTTCATGCTTCCATCTGGTTGCCATTCACCAACATCCCCTGACAAAGGATATTAAAAAAAGAAAAAGAAAAAGAACTGAGTGAGACATATTTATACATGCTAAAAAGAACCAAGTTCTATTTAATTACATAAGAGGACTGAAAACCAGTTATGAGAAGGTCTGGGATTAACCTGTGTGTAACCACCCATCAATCAGGACCTCTTTGGTGAGGTCATCACGTTTGTAGTAGCCAGAAAATAGGGTGTTTCCCCTTATACAAATTTCTCCACGTGGTGCGCTTGCAAGAGCATCATATCCCATTTCAGGAACAGATTCAAGGCGTATATCCACATTCGGTACTGGTGGACCCACTGTACCAAGCATTGCCAGTTCATTTGGCAATGAGACAAAAGTCCCCGCACAACTTTCAGTCAGACCTACAAAAGTATCAAATAGGGAGTAGTTTATAAATGTCTGTTAATAGCAGCAAGAAATCACAAAGAAGCTGAAGAAGAAAAAATCATCAACCATATGGATTTGAAGAGATGGTATACCATATCCTTGAAGTACGTGGCAGCATGCCACCACACGGAGAAAGGCTTCTACATGAGTAGTAAGAGGTGCTGCCCCAGATAGAATGAGACGCACATTTCCTCCCAGTCCCTCCTTTACCTGTAAAATGACAGGAGAGGGCGCATGGATTTTACAGGAGTTAATTCATTGTGCTGGTAGAGATGGAGTTCAGGGTGGGGGTTGAGACAAAGGTGAAGATGGAATTAATTTGTCTATCATCACCTTATTAAATACGATTTTGTCACAAATTGGAGCTGCTTCTACATGTCCACGTCCCTTTCTCATGTTATAAAATTTGCTGCAGTAATATTAAACATTAGTTAAAACAAGAAAGAGTCAAATTGTAGTTAAACATTCCATGTGTATGTTCACACTTAGTTCAAATGTCAGGTTGATCAGTCTAAGAAAGAGTCAGCTTGACCCTTAAATAATCATGGGAAGTTCTTAGCTATCCTTCTACAATATACTGTGCACCTAAAGCGAAGGCCTCTTGAAACTCCTTTTGGAAGCAGATATGAAAGAGTAAGGTGTCTCCCAAGATCGCCTTTCCATTTGGTAAGCAGCTTATAGTAGAATTTTGACCATAAACAACTTGAGGAAGACAGGAAACATTGGCTTTAATGGTTGTCCTATGTGCCTCCAGCGGTATGAATCCCCAGCCATCTCCTTGGAAGCTAGTGTTATTCTGCTGTTGGTCTTCCTAATTTGTGACAACATGTTTCTGGGTCAGGTGTACTATGTGCTTGGGAATTAAAGCATGTAAATCAAGAAAAGAAAAAAGGGAAAAAAAAACTCTTTATTCTTATTCCTATGTGTATCTATTAGGTCATTGGAACAGAAATAAACAAGGATCGTTTTGAGGGCACTAGCTTCATTTTTTATAGAACTGCAGGCTATCCCCTTATGTTACACTTAGTTCAAGTCTATTTTATTCCCATTCCCTTCCTAAATCTTAATTATAACTGAAGCGACTCTGCTTATATCTTTAATTGCTTGTAATTAATTCACTATTATTTCTGTTTATCAACTGAGGAAAACGACATCTAACTTAAATTGGCGACAGAATTAATTTTGTATTAGAATGCTCTTTTCATCAAAATATTTATCACATCATATCATATAGGAATTCATACCCATAGGTTTGAAATTTGAAAATTCAAACTAAACTCAGAGTAATTTGAAAAACTCTATTCAAGAGAGGATTTGGAGAACCCTATAGAGATTAGATTTCTAATCTTTCTAGATCCCTCTTCCATGGGTGGCACCTTTGTTGCCTACTTTTATCTCAAAAAACATCATACTAAGTGTGAACATACATAACAAACTTGTAGAAATAAAAATTGACCAAAGCAACAAATTTATATCAAAGCTATTTAGTAGTGAACCAAAGGGATGGAGAACATATTTGAAAAAAAAAATTAAAATAAAAAAATACATTTAAGAAAAAAGAGATGGAGAACCACAGACATGCATCTAGGAGTCAATTGAACAGAGGTTAAAAAAGACTTCAAGTACATATGTTCAAATAAAATCTCATAATGACTAGCGAGCAGATTGAGAAACAAAATTGGACTCACAATTTGTATGCAGCATTGAATATAGTCTGCTTGAAGAAACCCCCAGCAGAAAGCTTCTGCTGCAAACCTGGTGATCCAAACAGTAATTAGGACTGCAGATAAGAGGATTACGATATTCATTATTTAGCATATTCAATTTATAGTTTTTGGCAATACCAAAGGAAACAACAGTAATGAAGCATTCATCAGTAAGTACTTCTACCATCCACCATATTGTTTTTTTAACAATATAAGAAGGAAAAGATGGTAATGATCCATTTCATCAGCATGTACTTCTACTGAACACAACTGTATTTTATCAAATAGATATATAAGAAGATCATAATATGTGAGCTCTTTGCACATAACATAAAGTTGAGTTCCCACTTGCAATCCAGATTGCAACATTTAATGTTGTCACGCATAATCAGAATTAAGAAATCCAACACTCTGTTGGTACTATATATAATCTTCACATAACATAGCAAAAGCTATAACATTCAACTACTATTCAGTAAAAGTTTTGAGATTTTCCACAACCAGGAAAAGAAGGGATGATGTTATTTGCAGTCCAAATGCTGTTATTAGCACTCTCACTTCCATCAATCATGAGTTGTAAAATGAGACTTTGAGCAATGCCAATATAAATGTGCCAAGTGCAGATAACACTTTCCAATGGAGAAAGAAAAATCATAAACATCAATGATGTCTTTCTTCTCCTAACACATTTCAGGCAAATGCAGCACGGCAAGTCTCCAGTCTTTAAGGTGATAAATACAAAAAACACAAGGTCAAAAATCTTATGAAGAAGCATCCCCTCTAGTAATTCTCCACATGTAGAAAACAGAAGCTACCGAAGTTTTTAGGTTATTCAAAATATAAGAGAAACTGTACCTGAATATACTCTCTCTAATACACGGGGGACAGCGCAGAAAATGGTTGGTTTTAGTTCCCCTATGTCTTCAAGCAATAATTTGACATCCTGGTGATGCACCAATTAGATATCACTATATTGAATTCTGAACTGATGAGAAATTAGTTTGATAGTTGATACTGTTCTTACCCCACGCCAGAACCCAATTGATGCACCATGTTGAATAAAACACTCCTCTATCACCCGGTCAAAGATGTGGGCCAGAGGAAGATAAGAAAGATATACATCCTTCTCTGTCAACTGTAAAATTTTATAAGTTAAAGAAGAATGACTTGAAACAAGAAAATGGAAAATAAAAAAAACAAACAAACAAATGAAGCGTTGTTCTGCAGCTTTGTTGACTACTAATTGAGTTAAAGTTACAAGGAGAAAATTACATCTTCCTTGACGCTCTCTAGTAAGCGATTCACCCCTGCTATGAGAGTTACGATGCTCTCGTTTGATATCAATACACCCTTAGGATCACCAGTTGTTCCACTAGTGTACATAATTGTACATATGTCACTTTTCTTCTTTACCGGAAGGTCAAATTGTTTATCTTCACTCTGCAAGCATAAAATAATAAGCTTCCAAAATATCAGCTCGATGCAAATTAGTGTAAAACAGATAGATTAAAGCTGAAAACAAAAATTTAAATAATTAATTAATAAATAAAATTGGCCTATAATCAGTGGAAGGGTAATATCCTATAATCTTAGGCTCATTATATTTAGTCTACCTAGAAAAGTTTCCAGAAGCACATACGGAAATGAATCCAAATGCCACCATAACCCTATCATGAAAAGGTTACCAGACATAAAAATCACTTATCCACAAAAATCCAGGCACACAGAGATCTACAAGTGCCTTCAACCACTAACTCCTAAAAATTATCCACAGAATCCATGCACATAGGAGATTTACTAGTGCCAACCAAAAACTAGAAACTGAAGTTCAAGAAACATGTTATGTGCAGAATATTCCTGCCATGAACTTATAATTAACATGACAAAAGTTTCCTAGCATATAAAGACAACAAAGTTAATATCTTTTCAGGGTTAAAAGACTATTTGAAGCTATTTTTGATGTAAAGAAAAGTATGAGACAGACAACAACCTACCAATTTAAAAAATTCATCCCAGTCATATATTGCCACTCCAAACTTCTGAACTTCTTCTCTTTGTTCAGGTGTAACCTTGCCAAAGCTCACAATAGCTGCATTAATAAACATAATATGCAGTTGTTCACGGATTCATGCATGGAAAATAAAAAGAAAAGCTCAAACAAGTAGAACTTACTTCTCAAGTATTTTGTTGAGTTGGGGAAAGTTTTAAATAGCTGAAACATTAACAAATAAACATAATCAGAGAGATGATTCTTGAAAATGAAACCAAAAGTTTCTCAAATTGTCACCAAGGTAGCACTACTTCAGCAGTAATATGTTTAAAAGAACCAATCTAAGTATCCCATAAGTCCAATGTATAAAAAAGAGCAAAGTGAATCATGAACCAACCATAAAACCAAATCTCAACAAGTGTGTAAAAGTCATGCAATGGCTTCATAAATTTATCCTTTTTTTAAAGAAAAGTGTGAAGTTGTATTGATGTAAGGTGCAAAGGGAGCACCACTCATGTACAAAATTTACATCTCAATTAGAATATCTACAATGGCACTAAAATCTTCAAAATAGTCAAGATTATGCCCAAGAAAGTTAGAACCAAAGTAGTGAAACCAATTATCCATGATTTTGTTGAAATCAAACTCAACTCCGTCAAAAGCTCTTTTGTTTCTTTCCTTCCAAATGACCCAAAAAATGGTGAGGGAAATGAGTCAAATAGATTTATTGTTGCTGCCAAAACCCTCCCACGCCATTAATTCAGCACAAGTGTTGCCAGCCATAACCCAAGAAGTTATCCTTTTAAAAACTTCAGAGACCAAATAAACAAGATTAAGGTACCTCAGGAATCTTCTTCTCCTCTACAAAAGCAATCGAGACTTCGGCGTGGCAGATAATGAATTCCACTGCACCAGCACCTAAAATACACACAGAAAAAGGTCAACCGAAGAACCTGCATTTGATTAAATATTCATGCATTTGAAATAATCCAACATGAGATGTCTATATCCTCTAAGAATATGCATCTATTGTTCAGTGGTAGTCACAGTTATGCCTGTACAGATGCTCCCTAAAAAGAAAGATCCATACCTAATGTGTCATAGAGAGGAACACAATAGAGACCATGAGCATTGCAAGCCTGCAGAGGTTCGGGATTGTTAAATATATCTTCAAGAAAATGCAAAGCATACTAGTCAAAAAACAGGTTGCAACAAAATCCTAGGAGAAAAAATGCTTCCCTCCCATATAAATAACATAACAAAAAGACCAAGTAAAAAAAAATATATACGTCTTCGAGTTTTTCAGGTTCCAATAAAGAGAGAAACAAGAAAAAAAAAATGCAAGTACCTCCATGCTCATAATCCACTCTGGGCAGTTGGCACCATAAATACCACATTTTCCTCCCTATAAGAAAGATAGTGCCACAGTGAGGTACAGATACAACATTCATTTGATAATTATGCAAGACAATAGCGGCTTAAGATAATTGTCCAACAAGTGACGATAGGACTTTACTTCCTCAATACCACAACTGCGGATTGAATTTCCAAGCTTTATTACAAGGTCATACACTTCTTTGTAAGTTTGCCACACATATTTACCAGCCTGAAAAGGAAACCACAAGTCAAGTAGGTATTTGGAGGAACCCATGCAAAAAAGTGGAAATTTTTTCCATAATATACCTTGCCATTCACAATCTCACGCCGACCAAGCATCCTATTGTTAGGATATTTCTCCACAGACATCCTATGAGAAGAACATGAAAGAGTCCCTCAAAAGACTATCAAATAGGAAAATGAGAACTTATTTACTGTCTAACGTGAGCCAGCGCTATTTTTGTACAACGCCTCCGAAGTTCAATTTTTTTCATACTAAAAGTGCAGTTAGACAAAATTCAAAAGTTTTAACCGAATTATTTAAATCGAAGTTTCTAAGATATGTAATAGAAAGCAAATAACCATGCTCTGTTTGTTCGGATCATAAATCAATCACCATTTCATTCAATACAACAGTTGATGAGATTTGTTTTAAGAACCAAAACGTGAGTCAGAGTATTTCCTTAACGGAATTTCTCAGCAACCAAACAGAAGGTTAAGAGCGGGAAAAAATTCTCACCGGAAAACATCCCAGCAACTCTCAAGTCCTGGAATCGGAGCAGGAAATCCATCCTTGGCGAAGATACTGCGATAAACAGGGCCGATCGAGGGGTTTCCTTCAGTGGCAGGCGTGCCTTTCTCTACCTCTATGATGTAACTCTTCTCCGCCATTCACTCCCTCAAAAAAGAATCAACTCGATTGCTCTCTCTACGTATGAATGGATCTAGCGAGGGGAAAAGGAATGCGAGAGAGTATAGATAGGAGAATCGATGCGTGAGTCAATAACTATTGGTGGTGAGAAATTGAAAAATATGTATATATATTATGTGAAATTATTTTAAAATAATTTTCTCAACGCAAAGAATTGTTTAGAGCTGGTTATTTTACACCTGTAGACGGAAATTAAGAGAGAAGCAAGAAGGAAGGGGACCACTGTAGCTACGAGTTGTGACTCAGAGTTCATGGCCAATTAGGTTAGTTTCCGAGCAGCAGACGTGGAGATTTCAAACTTCGTTTTTTTTTTTTTTTTCAGAAATATTCGATTATTTGCTTTTCTCCTAAATTCTATTTTTGGATTCTCCCTTATTTTTTAGGGTTTTCTGATCTTTTTAATTTTTAATTAAAAACTATTTTTTATTCTAAAAATTTGATAAAAAAATATAAAATATTATTAAGTTAATATAATGCTATTTTAGGTGTTACACATATATGTGTAACATATATACGTGTGTGTATATATATATATATATATATATATATATATTCGGGTAAAAAGAAGTTTTTAACTTTTATCCTACGACTTAAATTTTACCCTACCATACTACCACTTGGCAGATGTAATTCATAAATTTTATTTTAATTAATTTCAAATAAATTAATATAATTTCATAAAACATTAATATAAAGTAAATTATAATATTTTTAAACTCCACCGTAGCTGGAGAATATAACTATATCATTACTTATAAATATAATCGATAATTTACTACTAATAAATTTTTTATTTACTATAAATCATTACTTCTTTAATATTATTTAAATAATTATAGTAACTAATTTTCTTAATCATATAATAATAAGAAAATAACTATTAATAAATTTTCTTAATTAAATAAGTTAAATTAGTTATTACGTAACTTAGCTAATTTATATGTAGCAGTTGAACTGCTAATTTAATTATTTCATGACGAGGATGTGAATAAAGAATTTCTTCTCCTTTTTTTATTAACATTAAATCATTAATTGTGTGATGGTTATAAGAAAATTATATAACTAAAAAAAAATTAGTTATTATAATATAAAAATAATTAAGAAAATTAGACAATTTACTATAATAAATCATTACACTTTGTAAAAATCCAAACCACTATAAGAGATTTCGAACATATAACTCAGTAACACTAAAACAAACAATATTAAAATTTATCATTTAATGGAAGCAATTAAAGTTTGAATGTTACATTCCTTGCACATTTACTTAAAATGTCCAATAAGGGCTATAGGAATGCCCTTGAAACTTAAACGAAAAAAAACATGAGAGAAAAAAAAATATGGTTAACCTCTACTCGAAACTAACGAAGTGGAAGAGGTAATTTCTTAACTAGTCTATTGTTGATCAAGATTCGAGTCTTGGTCGTCTTGATCTAAAATAGTTAATAAGAAATTGATGAGTTACATTAGCTCAGTAAAAATATCAACGTTTTATCACTGATACAGAAAATTAAAAAATTGCATAAAAATATAAAACAACCAACGGAGCTTATTCTTTATAAAACTCGAATACTAGTGTATTCATTATTTATTTCACTGAAAACGTCATCATTTTTTAGACTAACATGTAACTTTCAAATGTCATTCATTAAGATTAAAATCAGAATAACAATCTAACAGTATACAATCCAAAATACATGTAACAATTGAACCTTTGTTGTTTCCCAAAATCGAATTCATTACTATATTCATTTCTACTCTATCATTTTATATTTCCTATTAGTGTCACTGGGGTCTATATGTACCGGCCCTGGAAATTTAAAATGAAATATGTGCATTAAAAAGGTCAAATGCGGAAGCGTAATAAAAATTTTGATTAAACATCCCTTATGCTAAAACCAAAAATGTGCTCAAAGTATAAAAGAACAAACTAACTAAAAGAAAAACTCGAAAAATAAAAGCTATAAATATGACTACGGAGTCTTCAGGCGTCCCCTTCGCCGTCTTCCTGCGGAACGGGCTCGGGAACAATGTCTTCATGATCTGAAATGATTAAATAAGGAATGAGCTACACCAGTCCAGTAAAGACATCACACTATCTCACCGTCACGGAGGTAAAGGTGGGTAGAAAACACAAAAAGACCAATGGAGCATAGGTTACAACAAATTCTTTTATCAATAATAAAATCCTTTACTATCCACTTACCTCGGTGAAATTCATAAAACAATATACGAAAACAATAACATTATCATAATCACGAAATCATAGGAACTGTATAACATAATACTTATAACGCCTTTTCCATATCAATCATTACACAACATATTTTTCCTTATTTACCAGCCTACTAGTATCCATGGGGATCTATAGGGGTCCCACTACCCATGAACCTTTAACACTTGTAATCAGATTCCAGGGCCGTCCCCATACCCCGTCCGGTATGGGCGCCAAAACTATAAATCTCAATACTCCGTCCGGTATGAGGGTGAAACGGGTCGTCCCCATACCCCGTCCGGTATAGGCGCTAAAACTATAAACCTCAATACCCCGTCCGGTATGAGGGTGAAACGGGCCGTCCCCATACCCCGTTTGGTATGGGCGCCAAAACACATAAGGTCTCCATATCCCGTCCGGTATGAGAGACCACAATCCCGGTAGGGTTCCCTACGGACCCGGTCCGTCCACCATCTCCCAGGATATCTAGTCAGGCTGACCACATTATACAATTATCAATTTACATAACCTTTCATTCCCCTTTTTCTTAGTCAGTATCATCAATTCACACACAAACAAGCAAACCAGTAATTTATGCCAAACAAGACAACATACAGCATCGGTTTCTCACTCATTCAACCCATAATCAATAAAACAGTAAAATATGCACACGAAACTATGAAATGAAAACATCAGACCTCATACTGCATTTAAAACTGTAAAATAGGCCAAACAACAGTTAACCGACAAACACACCAGACTCGGGCTCCATTAGCGACCTTAAGCAATTTCACACATTCGTTGATTCAAGAAATACCGTTTTATCATTATTGAACTTTAATACCGTGATAGAAAATAGGGTGAGGGGTCCTTACTTGTTTCGGGGTCCGAATACGGCTCTACAGTGCGCCTGCAGGCTGTCCCTAATTTTCCCTGAATTTTTCCTGGGGAACTAAAATACACTACTGGTACCTGCACGTGTCCCAAAAAATCCCAAATTAGACCCAGGGCCCCTTTCGGCCAATATCGCAATTCCGGCATGGCGGTCACGCCGTGCTTCGGCGACGGCGCCGCCGCTTGCGGCGGCGATTCGCCTCGAGTTGGCCGTTTTCGGCCGTTTCTGGCCGAATTCAGCCACACTTGCATCGGTCCCTGCGATAAAACAACCTAGGGCCCTCGGGGGGCCAAAAAATTACGAAAAACTGAAGCTTACCGGCGGCAGTGCTCTCGGGTGCGGCGGCTCTCTGGCGAGGTTCGTGTTTTGGTGATTTGGCTCCGATCAACCTGTAGAGAAAAGAATGGTGATCACGGTGATATAAAAATTGTATCAAACGGAGGCCGGGAAGGACCTCATCGGAGGCAAAAACCAAGGAGGGGCGCAACGGCGCCGCTGGGTTTCGACCCGTGTTTTCTGGCCGTTTGGCCGGGATTTTGGCTCCGATTTGGCCACAGGGGAACTCAGCGTAGAAAAAACGAGCCAGGGATATGAAATTTACCTCGATCGGCGGTCGAAAAACTCCCTGGTGCGGCGGCGAGTGGCGGCGGCCGGCTCCTCCGGCGTCTGGTTCGTCTTCTCCGGCGAGGGCAGGCGGCTAGGGTTTTTGTTGTCAGGTGTGGGGGTTTTATTTATACCCTTTTGCCTTTTGATCACAGCCGTCCATTTTGATTAAATCTGGGCCGTCCGTTCTTGATTGAATCTGGGCCGTCCGTGAGCGTGCATCTGGGCCGTCCGTGCGATTACATTTGGGCCGTCTGTGCGCATGCTTGATCTGGGCCGTCCGTGCGCGCGGGGATGCATCTGGGCCGTCCGATCGCGAGCACGCGGATCGCCCACGTGGCCCGTTCTCGGGTTGACGTGGTCTTGCCACGCGGCAGGTCCTGGTTGGCCAGGGCTACTGACTGGGCCGCTGACGTGGCTGCATACGTGGCGCTGACGGGGCACAATTTTTCTAAATTGCGTTTTGACCCCCGGTTTCTGATTTTCTTTTCAAAAATACCCCCAGAATCCTAATTTTCACCCATTTTTCCCAAAATCAATTTCAATTAAATCCAAATAATATTTTTATCCAATTTTACAATTATTGTTATTTTTATTTTTTATTAAATTAAATTAAAATAAACTAAATAAAATAAAATAAATAAAAATAAAATTAATAATAATAATAAAAATAATTTAAAAAATTATTGGGCGTTACAACTCTCCCCCCCTTAAAGAAATTTGGTCTCCCAAATTTGCCTCCTACTCTTGGTCGAACAAATGGGGATACTGGGCTCTACATTCTGATTCCAGTTCCCAAGTAGCCTCCCTAGGCGTGTGGTTCTGCCACACGACCTTTACAAATGATATTTCTCGGTTGCGGAGTATTCTGCTCTCTCGGTCCGTGATACCGACCGGTACTTCTTCATAAGATAAGTACTCTTGGAGTGGAAGCGGTTCATGAGCCAAGACATGAGAAGGGTCCGGGTTGTACTTACGTAGCATCGATACGTGAAACATGTTGTGAACTCAGGAGAGCTCAGGAGGCAGTGCTAGTCTGTAGGCAGCGGTACCAATCTTGTCTAAGATTTCAAAGGGTCCAATATATCGGGGGTTTAATTTTCTCCTCCTGCCGAACCTATTAATTCTCTTGAAATGAGTGACCTTAAGAAACACACGGTCGCCTTTCTCAAACGCTAGGTCTCTCCTCCGGATATCTGCATAACTCTTCTGCCTACTCTGAGCTGTCTGAATGTTCTTCTTGATTT